AGTGCAGAGAAGAGCAACCAGGATGATTAGGGGACTGGAGATTAAAACATGAAGAACGGTTACAGGAACTGGGCATGGCTAGTTTAGTGAAGAGAAGGACCAGGGGAGACATGATAGCAGTCTTACAATATTTGAGGGGCTGCCACGGAGAGGAGTGGGTCAAGCTATTTGCCAAAGCACCTGAACACTGGACAAGGAATAATGGATGGAAACTGACCAAGGAGAGATTCAACCTAGAAATAAGGAGGAACTTTCTGACAGTGAGAACTATCAACTAATGGAACAACTTGCCTTTGGAAGTTGTGGTGGCTTCATCACTTGAGACTTTCAAGAAGAGATTGGACTGCCATTGGTCAGAAATGGTGTAGGGTCTCCTGCTTGAGCAGGGGATTGCACTAGGTGACCTATAAGGTCCCTTCCAACTCTGTTAATCTGTTAAATCTGTTATTGAACATCTTGATTTGGATAAATGGTACAGCTTCAGGAGCATCTAAATAATTACAAGTGATTATCAAGTTTTAATGAAACTAAAAATTCCACAAAGAATGTTTACAAATATCTGCTGATACATTAATTTGATACATGCATTTTAAAGACTGAATAGAAAAGGCAATTTAAATTTCCACTTTATTGAAGCAGTGGGAAATTCTGGAAACATTTGATAAATCTTAGACTTATATTTTATTCAACATAAAATATAAAATATAAAAACATATTTAATTTACTGGACTCTATTGCATTGATACAGAAAACAGACAAAGTTACTGTTGATATTATTCCCAATGAGAATACAGTATGACTTTGGTCAAGTATATGTTTTTGTAATATGCTAAAATATTATTGAAAGAAGACATTTCATATATTGAGTTTGAATATTTTGAGATGTCTATATCTTTTGATTTATATACATACCATATGAAAATTGGCAATTGGACAATGGAAATGGATTATCCATACCCTTCCTATTGCTATAAGAAATGTTGTTGAACGTTAAAAGGGTAAACAAAAAAGCTAAACAAAAATGCTTCAACTTATGAACACAATCAGAACCACTTGCCAAGTGCCCAAATTTTGATCATGAAACTGTGGGAATGTTGCAACAATTGTTAGTGCAAGACCTATCATAAGTCACTTTTTCAATGCTGTTATCACCTTGAATGGTCGCTAAACAAATGATTGTAGGTCAAGGACTACCTTTATAAACCCAATCATAATCAAAGTGATGTAACAGAGGATGAAACTGAGCTACTTTTCAAACTGCTGATCCATAAGAATAATCAAAAGTTCGTTAAAAATGTCTTATTTCTAAATACAACAGCATTAGAATTTTTTTTAAAAGGACTTTCTGTATATTTAAGAAAAAAAATTACCTCACAAAATTTACCATTCAAAAGAAGTATTTATCTTTCAAAGTATATTCTTTCAAAGAATGACGGCAAAGGGCTACTACTTTTAATGACAATTGGCTTGGAAGATTGAATACGTCTGCTACTGGATACTTTACTTGGCAACTTTATTTTTTGGAAAGTGTATCATTACATTCATATAACACCCTTATCCTGGTTTAGGAATTAATTCACTTTCTGCATTTGCACTGAACCATAATGAAGTGAACTATGTTCAAACATAGCCAACTAATCACAGAAAAAACTCAGCATTTTGTGTGAATGTAGATCTTAGACTTGTACTCTGTCCAATTTTACACACACATACACATATAGATAGATGTTGATAATGTTTTGGAGACACTTTACATGCACCTGTACCTCTGAATGTGGCCTGTGTTAGAATATACATGTCTCATATACAGAGCCACAAGTTGATATAATGTGTCTCCAAATCAGTGTCACACATCTATAACATTGTGGATGGTTCTACATGCATTCAAAATGTCTTGTGTGAACTATGTCTTCTTTCCCAAATCACCCAAGTGTGATTTTGCAAGAATCTTACTGCTTATTTGAGCTTTGTTTGCAATCAAATGTATAACAGATTTCCAGTTGTAGATAGACACCATTCCTTCCAACAGATAAAAGCATAAGAATAAAAACTACAAGAACATAGCAGGCTTTGGAAAGGCACATCGTACACATACTTTCCCAAGACTTGTTACCAGTGGTGGGATTCAAATAATTTAACAACTGGTTCTCTACCCTAATGACCGTCTGGGTGGGTCTAGCCATAGTGGGCATGGCCAGGGGATTGTTTCAGGCAGAACTCAGCCTCCTGCACCCCCCAAGAGCAAAAATGGGCCATGGGGCGCACTGCCCCCCTCTCCCCGTTTTGGACCTAGTAGGCCTCTCTGCAGCCTCCTGGGAGCAAAAACAGGCCATGGGGGCACTACCCCACCTCCACACCCCGTTTTGGGCCTAGTAGGCCTCCCTGCACTTACCTGGGAGCCAAAGTGAGGCTCGTGGGGCCCCCTGGAAGGGGTGGGGCCAACCAGCAATTTAACAACTGGTTCGCCCAAACTGGCCCAAACCGGCTAAATCCCACCACTGCTTGTTACCATGATCAGTCTTATCCATATAACATCCCAGTGCAACTATGCTGAAAAAGTGTCACTATCACACATTCAAAAGATTTTCATCCTTCTTTGTGAAACAAAGTCTTTTGAAGACAGCAGGATCTTCTTCCAAGTATACATGAATTGTGGAATTACTCCAAATTCCCATCCTGAGTAGAACTGTCTGTCTCAGCCTGAGTGTCACCTTCAGCTTGTACATCATTCTCCTTCTCAGCTGCTATGTTTTGTTCCAACTGGTCTTTGCCTTTGTCATTCAAGACTTTGGGACTTAAGTCTTCATCTGCAGCAATTTCCAACAAGGCTTCCTGGAGCATTAAAGTTGGACTTACCTGGTGTGGCTGTTCATTCAACTCATTTATCACAACATCTTGATCCATTCTGTTTTCTACCATCTCTTGCATTAACTTAATTTCAGATTCTTCTGGCATGTGTCCAATCTTTTCTTCGGTTGTCATCTATGATTGAAAATTAATTTCATCTACATGAGTACATTGTTAAAATCCCTTTTTAAAACCCAATCTTAATCTAGGTGTCGGTGTTCCGACTGATTCTGTAATTAAATCATGAGCCTGGAGCCAAGCTTCAAAAGAAATCCAGTTATTTATTAGGAGCTTCATGTCGGCACATTCCAAGAGAAGCCAACTCTGACTTAATTCACCCCCATCTCTGACCCTGTTTCCCCCTCCCCCCAAGGTGTGTCATCAGTCACATTCCCCTACGAAGCAATTTCCCGGGTTGTATAGTCCCTCCCTCCAGCCATTGTGGATATCCATGGAAATGGTCTTGACATAGAGATGGCTGGAATGTGTTTTTGTTTTGATTGAAGTGCGGTTCCTTGGTGCAGCTGCGAGGCTCAGTTCTCCATCCCTCAGCCTATGGCAACTCAAGAGCAGGTCAGGAATGCTTTGCAGGTTGACACTAAGTTTTAAAGATTCTCTTATATTACCTTACTAGGAAAAAAGATCATTCCAGAAATCCAAGTGGTTTTTGTTTCCTGTCTGACAATCTTGAAGGGTTTCACAACAATCTAGAAAGCCTGCAAAGCAATTGTCCAGCTCAACTTACACCCAGTGTAATCAAGGCAGGACAGTGGTGGGTTGCAGGTGGTACGCACAGGTACACGTGTACTGATGCCTGCTGGAAGCAGCAGCCACCGTACCGGAACGGTACTTTGGAGTGCCTGCCCGCCCGCCCTCGTTTCTTACCTGTATTTGAAGGAAACGTGCCATATGTGCACACACGCGCAGCGTATGGCACCTGCGTGACGGTCCGCCAAGCAGCTGGAGCATTGCAGGTGGTGGGTCCGCATGCATGCACAGCGCGCATGCCTGTGGTCCACGCCCGGCTCCCGTTGCAACATACCGGTTGCAACGGGAGCCGAAACCTACTACTGAGGCAGGATTTCTATGAGTCTCTTTCTCATGCTTTTTTCCTACTTTGAAAAATAAATATTTTATGTAATGGTTCTCCTCTATGTTCTCAGAGACTGCTAGATATTCCATCACCCTAATGTTAAACAAGACTGATTTTAATTCTTCAAAATAAGAACAAGAACTAAGCTTGCACAAAAACTAAGTTGCAGATTCTGTACAGATTTGTAGACCTCAATGAATTTATCCAAGGCAAGGAAGCAACAGTGATCCTCCTGGATGAAATGCTCCATGTTATCTTATCTGGTGTCCTTAACCTCTTCCAGTTCTCTGAACTTGTGAAGAACCTCAAAACAAAGGGTCTGGGTGACTTCCAGTGGATAAAAATCATTTCAATGCAAAGTGAATTTCAAAGGTCTGGTTTTGCTGTTAATAATAGTATGTCAAGTGCATTTGTTAAAATAGGTACTCACTTCATCTGCCTTCTCATCAGCCACCACTTCTATCACAGGTTGGTGTAATGCTCCATCAATTTCCATTAATTTTTCAGGAGTATCTTCTGTTTGCTCTTGGAAAAGATCCTATATAGAATAAAACTGCATTCAATTTATTTCAACTACCATCCATCTAGCCATCTTAGCACCCATCCATCCATCCACCCACATTATAGACACTTTTTTAAATATGCTTTTTTTCAACTGCTCCAACGTTTTTTCTCATTAAAACATCATCAAAATAGCACAATAAAGAATGCTATTTCTGCACCAACTCAGGAAGCTCAGACTGCCCAAGGAGCTGCTGATACAGTTCTACAGAGGAATTATAGAGGTGCAGATGACAGACTCAATAACTGTCTGGTTTGGTTCTGCAACCCAACATGACAAACACAGACTTCAGAGGATAATCAGAACTGCAGAAAAAACTGTAGAGTCAAAAAGAGGGACGTGAAAATATTTACAGACCCCTCGCATCCCGGACATAAATTGTTTCAGCTCCTACACTCAAAACTGTTGAATACTAGCGCGGGAAATGCAAGCGCGGGAATAAAGGACTC